GCATTTACTAGGATAGATACTATTTTAATTTTTATTTATTGTTAATATTTTTTCAATTGGAAAGTTATAATTATATACTTTTATTGGGTACAATGTGTTGATTTTGTATGTGTCTATATATGCACACCTAGGTATATACACAGTATGAAATGATTACATCAAGATGATGAACATATCTACCACCTTGCTTATCCCTTTTTTGTGATGAGATATTTGAAATTTACTCTCTGAGCTATTTTGAAATACAGAATACATTATTATTGAGCTTAGTCACTCTGCTGTGCAATGGATGCGTGACTATCTGCTAGATGACATAAATGCATTTTAATTTGATCTTCAACAGCAGAACAGAGATTACTCATCATCTCTCTTCTTTCTAGATGAAGAAAGCAAAGTTTAGAGTTGAATGACTAGACTGAGGCCACACAGCTGGAAAGGGACAATGACCATTTTGTAGTTCAGATCCACTGGCTTCCAAAGCCCAGGTTTTTTCTTCCACACTGAGAAATCTCTCAAAGTGGATGAGCTTATTGCACCTGAAACCAGGGAAAGATCTTTTAATTTGATTCTTTATAAGAACAAAGAAAAAGTTAGCTGAGTAGATTGAATAAGCACATTAATGAAGAGGACTTTAACATATAAAGTTAATTATTTGTATTTGAATAACACACAAGGATAAAAGCAGGTGTGGGGATAAATACCAGTTTTTCTCCTTGGGTATCAGTAGCCCCTTCATCCTGGTGAGACAAAGGCAATGCCTCTTCCATGACTGCTCTCCAGGTTCTTCCCTACTATCCTTTTTCCTCAACTTCTTGGAATGCTCCTAAACCCAAAGGCTCAAATCTGTTTAGATTACAAGCTCCCTAGAGATAGGGGCTGTCTCTCTCATTTTTGCATTTTTGGAGCCTAGGACAGTGCTGGTCCAATGAATGGGTGCATCGCTTGGCTCTGTTTCCTGCCCACTTATAACACATGCTAGTTTCTAGAATCAACTCTGATGCGCGTCTTTCTGGAGATCATGCATGCCTGCTTTCTGCAGCTCAGATCTTAAAGATCTGGCTTTCTGCTTTAACAACCCATAGTTCAGCAAAATAGATTTCTAGAACTGCTGCTATTTTAATATCTGCCTTTGAAGCAATCGTATAGAAAACCCAAAATGGTGTCGTGCTAGAGCTTCAGAACCCACTGCTCTCTGGGTGTTTTTCGCGGCCCAGCACTATGACAATGGGAAGAACGTGGCCATAGAACTCCAACCCTGAGGGTTTCTGCAACATTTTCCTATTGGGCTAATGCCCCATTTTCTTTGGTAGTTTTGTGTCCCTACATAGAAATATCCCACTGGGCCCTATGCTAATCTTAACCACGCTGACTGAACTGGCACCATGCGGTAGATTTATTTTAGTGGCACTAACATGCAAGCTCATGTTAACTGACATTGGAAAACCAGTCTTTGACTTGCTCATAACCTGTTTACTCTTAGTTTATACAAAGTCCTAACAGCCTTGGTATGTCTGTTTTCTAACTCTGAGCATACTGAATGCATCACATTGTGCATTGACAAAGATACTGATAACAAAGGGAAGTAACATGTAACAGCTGCATAGTAAAGGAGGAAGCAGAAAAGCTATTAAAGACAAGCTCAGAGACTTGAACATCTGGCAGTCTGGGACCATTCCATGCATCTTGAGATGCCAGCTAGCTTCTGAGATATTAGTAACTGAGCAGCATGGCTCAGTAATCGATGTCCAAAATGATGACTCAAAATCCAAAAATCATTCACTGTTCAGTTGGCTCTGAATTGCAGTGTGTTTAACATGACAAAAAGTATGAACTATGTTTTAGAAATGTGTCCAGTTAAATGCTAATAGTATTCCAAGGAAAATAAAGTTACTCATAAAATTTTTGCTTTGCACAGTTGTATGTTATAAGACAGTTCTGAATAGTCAAGGATGTGTGTGTGCTTGAGTATGTGTGATAGAGAAAGACACACAAAGAGAGAGAGAACCAGACAGAATTGTGTGTTTGCACTTTTTTATACCAATAAATTGTATTTAAACGTTTACCTATTTTAGCAGAAGCACATTCATTAATCCCATTGAAGGACATGAACAAATCATTTATTCCATATGACATAGAAACCTTTGGTGGCATAAAGTGTCTAGTGGGGTACAGGGGCAAGATAGAGAATAGTTAAAATGATTCCTTATTACCACAGAGCTGACATATTTGGTGCTCTAATGACATAGCTGTGCCCTTATTGTCCCTTGATAGTTCCACAGGACTCCCAAGTTGAGACTGTACCCGAGGACCCTGGACTTACCTGTTCCTCTCATAATTAAAAGATCCTACTCTTTAACCTTATTTTATGTTTTAAAATGTTGATCGATTTCAAGATGACATAAATTGAGAAATGAAGGACTAGGCAGAGGAGGTCAGATTAACCCATTTATGCCTGAGGTTGCAATTTTTTGAATTTTTGCAATCAGGCCTTGGCCATGACCTTGAGCAATAGGAGATAAATAACTGCCACATGCTTAGCGTTCCAATAATGAAACGCTAGGCATAAATGGGTTTACGTACAGAAACTCAGTCAATGTCAACTCCTTCATTCTTATAAACATCTCAGAAAATGCTTAAGACAATCAAAGGTTCAAGTTCTTCTGAAATGATATGCCCTAAAGCCTTATTTAACATAAGTGAGTAAACAAAAAAATAATGTTAGATATTGCAAGAACAAAATGTTCCTAGAGAATAGAGCCCTCTCTGGAATCGGTAATAATGCAGGCTGCTGCTATCTGTGTGCATTTCTCAACCTTTCTGGAAAATGGCACACAATCCTTTCCACTGATATTTTGCCACCACTCATGGCCTGTCAATTCTAATGAAAATACTCCATGCTAAGAAGGTGACAGGAATTACATGCATCATCTTTTTTTTAGTTTCCTTTCTGTCTATCAAACTGTACTTTAAAGGAACTGATTATTAAAGCATTATATAAGTATGCAAACGATATTGAAAGAGAAATAATGTTTCCATTATACACAATGTGTATCATAAGAAAGGCTGAGTGTGATGACATATGACAAGTGGTAAAAGGTATTTTTAGTTGCTTTCATTTTGGGGAGTAATAAAGAAAAATTATCTGGAATATACAGCATTAGGAGATTTTTCAACTTCTATAATAGCTAGCATTATTTGTGGCATATTTTAAACTAAATATCTAACTGAAATTGTTTTGAAAGTTAATGTAGATATTAGTTTAAATATATGTTATACTAGCTTTAATAATTAATTTGTACTCATTTGAAAAGCTTATACAAGGTCAGTATTTGCTCTATTATTTTATGATCTTTTTCACATCTGTGTTCTTTGTAATTACTCCTAACTCATGAGATTTCATAAATCATTTTTGGACTGGGCATGGTGGCTCATGCCTGTAATCCCACTTTGGGAGGGATTACACTCCCTAGCACTTTGGGAGGCTGAGACAGGTGGATCACTTGAGTTCATGAGTTCAAGACCAGCCTGGGCAACATGGTGAAATCTCGTCTCTATGAAAAAATACAGAATTAGCCAGGTGTGATGGCCCACTCCCATAGTTCCAGCTACTCGGGAGGCTGAGGTGGAAGGATTGCTTGAGCTCAGGAGGTGAAGGTTGCAGTGAACTTAGATGACACCACTATACACTACAGCCTGGATAATACAGCCAGACCTTGTCTCAAAAAAAAAAAAAATTTAATTTATCAGAGCAACTGACCTATGCATGATGTGTAGTTATTGCAGAAAATGACCAAGAAATTATGTTTACAATTTAAATATGTAAAGCTCAAAAGCAATGAATCTAAGACTCCTGGAAATTCAGACTGAAATAAACTAAAGGACATTTCAACTGAACCTGAGAAAAACAAGCAATAAAACCTGATTCTTTGGCATTTTAGTCGTTTTTCAAAGAGAAAAATCACATTCTTTCCAGTGGAATCACATCACATGCAGAAACAGCCCATAGAAGAGTCTAACGGTGGCAGGTGCACTGAGTTACCCACCACGAAGGTGCAGTGAGGCACTCTCAGCCCTACTTTTATGCTCCAACTTGTTTTATCACCCAGTTAAAATTGAACAGTGAAAAATACATTTAAAAGTTACGTTTTCAAAGGGAAAAAAAACATGATTGCCCTTCTTAAATTAACACTAATACTTGATCTCAGTGTTGGCCCTTTCTGTACAACTGAAGCTTTACCGGTAAAAATCACAGGTTACCGATAGGACACTGTTTTGTGCTGACATAATGGGCAATGACTGATCATGAATTTTTTTTCTTGAGGTAAAAATTGTTATTGTCAATGATTTGAATAGTCCCTTTAAAAGTTAGTGATTAAGAAATAACAGTATTCTAAAACTCTGAATCTGGGAAGAATTGATGTGTGTAGTAGAATATAGTGATAAACATTGGTTATTATTGGGAGGAAATAAGACAGCCTTTTTGGGGAAAGTTTGTAGAATATTTTGTTACTTTGTAGTCTGATATTTTTGTGCTTTTATTGAAATATTTTAAACTGAGACAAAAGTTTATACTTTCATAAGCTAGAAATGTGCAACAAAAAGTTAATACTCCCTTAATTTGTCACATGCTAAGAGAAATGCAATGATCCAAGAAAATATTCTATGTTCGCTATATACCAATTATATGACAACTTCATTGCTGTAAGATAAATGCATGACCTAAAAAAATGTTTGAGGTTAGATTTGCTAAGTATATATTGTATAACATAAGTACTAAAAACCCTTAATGTAGGCTAGTCAAAAAGTTAACACAGCTTGGACCCATATTTCACACACACACATGCACACACACACACGACACACACACGACACACACACCCATTTTTAGCCTTTTCATTAAGTTTCTTCAGGTGGAAAAAAAAACTGTTTAAGGACTTTGTCTATGTGGTTGGGTTGCTTTCATTATATTTTAACCAAGTCATTGTTTTCCTGTATTTCAGGATCTAGATTTCTCATCACATCCACGGGAGCCTTGTATATTAAAGATGTACAGAATGAAGATGGATTGTATAACTACCGCTGCATCACGCGGCATCGATACACCGGAGAGACGAGGCAGAGCAACAGCGCCAGACTTTTTGTATCAGGTAAAAACTCATCAAGACTCCGTCTGCCATGTCTGCTGTTTCTTTGTTTGTATCCTGAGACGACTCAATCAAAATCGTGGAGTGTTGCCATTAAAATGGAGCCTTCAATTCCTTTTCCAAAATAGTTTAGCAATTTTAAAACTCTTTTAAATGAATATGAATACAATTTCATAGAAATACAGATTTCACATTTGTCAAACCAGTAATTGACTCATTCACATGACGACGTGTTAGCATTTCAGGGAGCACATTAGGAGTGAAAGATCCATCTCCATCTCAAATATCCATCTCAAATGCAGTGAAATTGCATTTGGTTTGATTAGAAAATCAAATACGAAATACCTAACCTTTGCCTTTGTGGCTGAAGAATATAAAATTGCTCCCTGTGGTAAATATCCTGTAAGGTTGTAATAGTGACATAGAAGTGACCAAAGGTTGCTTGCTATCAATATTTAAGAAGTACCTTATTTGTAATAATGCTTTATGGGAAGAAGTGAAGGGAACTTGTTGAACATTGGGATAATTTGAAACATCACTGCCTGAGCACCCACTTTTTGTCCTTGATAAAATGACACAGGAGCCAACATAAAGGGGCTCTCATCAGTCAAAGAGAATTAACTGAGTATCAGCAGTGATGCTTGCACATGATTGATAACCATTAAATATTGTGAAAACCTTTGAGTTCATTACAATTTTATACAATGTGAACACATGAATATATATTTCATATAAAGAAAGAAATAAGAATCTCATTGGTCTGCATAGTAGTAACCAGGACACTAACTCTTCATTCTGATAACAGGTGATTAAAGACAACAACAACTCAATGTATTCTGTCTTTCCTATAGCTACTGTATTTTTAGATAACCAGCTAACCTTAGTTCAGAAGGGAAAGTTCATTTTGCAGAATAATTGTGTCTACTGAATGTGACAGAAATGACAAAATTAGAAAATTCCATTTTCAACCTTAATAAAATAACTCAGATAAATTTTAACATCTGACCTCACTGATCAATTGAGTGTCACTAAGAACGGGAAAACCACACATTATGTGGATACAATGTGAAGTGCACAACACCCCTCTCAAAGAGAAATAGGTTGAACACTTATCTAACCAACCCACTGAAATAAATTCCAGTTCATAAGAAAAATGCCTGTGGCAATAACGGCACAAATTAAATGATGTCATAGACAAGCAAATTCAGCATGGTAACTACCTGGTTTCTTTAGGAAGTCAAGTCAAATACATGGGAGAAAGGAGGGCTGGCTCTGCATTAAGAAAGACTCAAGAGATGTAACAACTGCATGTGAATAGGAGAAGGATCTTGATTTAATTAATTCAATTGTTTAAAAGCCACTTTTGAGCTGATGAGGAAAAATGAATTTGCAGTGTATATACTACTTGATATTGTGTAATACAGACTGTGGTTATGTAACAAAACTCTATTTTTATTAGAGAAGCATGCTAGTGATGTGATGATAAAATGACATAGCTTCCCTTTTTTGTTGCTGTTTTTGTTTTGAGGTGGAGTCTCGCTCTGTTGCCATGCTGGAGTGCAGTGGCACGACCTTGGCTCAGTGCGATCTCTGCCTCCTGGGTTCAAGTGATTCCCCTTCCTCAGCCTCCTCAGTAGCTGGAACTACAGGCGTGCACCACCACGCCCAGCTAATTTTTTGTGTTTTGGTAGAGACAGGGATTCACCATGTTGGCCAGGATGGTCCAATCTCCTGACCTCGTGATCCACCTGTCTTGGCCTCTCGAAGTGATGGGATTACAGGCGTGAGCCACTGCGCCTGGCCTATAGCTTCCCTTTTGTTGCATATTCTTTACCACCAAAAACAAAGTAAAACTATCAAGAAATAAACATGATGAAGAATAGAAAAGTTTTGGTGTCAGAGCCATTAATATGATGAATATATGGGATGCATCATATTATTTTTGTCTATTTTTGTGTAAGTTTTCAAACGTTTGGGATAAAAATAACTTTTGTAAATATATATTTAAAAGTTTGAAGACTGAGACAAAGACAAAAAAGATACTGAAGGGGATGAAAAGGAAAGACAGTGCTGTTTGGTTGTTTAGATTTGACATATGACCAAATATCCCCACAAGAGCCTGTCTCAAGCATTGCCTCAATCATGCACTTAAAATATAAAACATCAGATGCTGGTGAGGGTGCAGAGAAAAGGGAACCCTTATACGCTACTGGTGGCAATGTAACTTAGTCCTGCCATTATCGAAAGCAGACTGGAGATTTCTCAAAGAACTTAAAATAGAGCTACCGTTTGACCCAGCATTCCCATTACAGAGTAATATATCCAAAAGAAAATAAATCACTCTTCCAAAAAGACGTATACGCTTGTATGTTCATCATTGGGCTATTCACAATAATAAAGACGTGAAATCTGCCCAGGTGTCCTTCAATGGTAGATTAGATAAATAAGATGTGGTACATATAAACCGTAGTATACTGGAAAGCCATAAAAATGAATGAAATCTTGTTCTTTGAAGCAATGAGGATGGAGCTGGAGGCCATAATTCTTAGTAAATTAACACAGGAATAGAAAACCAAGTACCTCGTGTTCTCACTTATAAGTGAGAGCTAAATATTGACCACACGTGGACACAAATATGGGAACAACAGACACTGTGGATACTAGACTGTGGAGGGCAGGGAGTTTGGGTTAAAAAGCTACCTATCAAGTACCATGCTCACTATCTGAGGGACAGGATCTCTACTCCAAACCTCAGCATCACGTAATATTCCCAAGTAACAAATCTACATATACCACCTGTATCTAAAATAAAAGTTGAAATAAAAAAAGAAATACCTCATTCCAGTTTCATAAAACAGTTTTATTGAGATGCAATTTACTTTAATATAAACTCCATTCAGTTTATTCACTAATTTTAGTAAATGCATAGAGTTGTGCCACAACTGCACCAATCTAATTTTAGAATATTTTCACCACCCAAAAGATTCCTCCTACCCATTTGAAGCCAATTTCAATGTCCATCCCCAGTCCCAGACAACCACTAATCTATTGTCTGTCTCTGTAAAGTTGCATTTTCTGGATATTTCACATAAATGGAATGATACAAGATGTGGATTTTGTGTCTGCCTTCTTTCATGTAGCACCCGTGTTGTAATGTGTTAGTCGTTCACTCTTTCTTGTTGCTGAAGAGCATGTGATCATCTGTAAATACTGCATTTGGTTATTAGTTCACTAAATTATGGACATTTGGGTTGTTTCCACTCTTTGATGATGAATAATCCCGCTACGAACATTTGTACCTAAGTCTTTGAGTGAACATGTTTTCATTCATTTAGGGTAGGTTCCTAGAAGTTGGGGCCTCATGGCAAATTGAAGTTTAAACATTTTAAGAAAATGCCAACCTGTTCTGGCTGCTTTTATTTGGCAAGTATATCACAATACACCTGGGGAAAAAATAAACTCTAGCCAATGTCATGTAAGAGGAGAAAAATGTGTGGGTTTGTAGGAAATCCTGCTTAAAAGTGACTTCACTGAGGGGGCATTCTTACGCATTTTTGCTTTCCTTCTTTATACCACCTGTGATATGGATGTGAAGGCTGGCACTCCAGCAGCCATTTTTATGTGAAATCTGTATGTGTGCCTATGTAAGTCTGTATTTACCTTCCACCAACAATGGGTGAAGATTCCAGGTCCCTACATCTTTACCAGCATTGTTTGTGATTTTATTGCAGTCATCCTAGTGGGTGTGAAGTCATGTCTCACTGTGATTTTAATTCGTATTACCGTAATGCCTAGTGATATTGAACATCTTTTTGTGTACTGATTAGTTATTTGTATATCTTCTTTGGTGATGTAAAATATCAACGATTTTGCCCATTTTTGGGTTGTTTCTTATTATAGAGATGTAAGCATTTTTAATATTTTTTGGATTTGAGTTCTTGATTAGAAATATGATTTTCAAATTTTTTTCACTTAATGATGCCTTTGAGAATGCTACAGTTCTTAATTTTTTTATTTTTTTATTTTTATTGTTTGAGATGGAGTCTTGCTTTGTTGCCAAGGCTGGAATGCAGTGATGCGATCTTGGCTCACTGCAACCTCCGCCTTCCGGGTCCAAGCTATTATCCTGCCTCTGTCTATAGCTGGGACTACAGGTGCATGCCACCACACCTGGCTAATTTTTGTGTTTTTAGTAGAGACGGGGTTTCACCATGTTGACCAGGCTCATCTTGAAGTCTTCATCTCATGTGATCTGCCCACCTCGGCCTCCCAAAGTGCTGGAATTATAGGCATGAGTCACCAGGATGGGCCAGTTTTTTTAATTTTGAAGAAGTTTATTATGTTGATTTTTTCTGTCGTTGCTTGTTTTTTTAGTGTTATGCCTAAGAACTTCTCAAGGTCATGAAGATATTTTCCTTATGTTTTCTTCTAAAAGCTTTTATAGTTTTAGTTGTAATATTTAGATCAATAATCCATTTTGAGTTAATTTTTGTAGATAGTGTGAGGCAAAGTTCTAATTTATTTTCCTTGTGGATATCCAATTGTCTCAACCATTTTTTAAAATGTCATTAGAATTACACAGCACTGTCTTAAGCATATTTGAGAAATTTCTGCCAATAGTTTCAGTTAGAATAAAACTTTTTAAGTGCAGTCATTGAGAGTTGATTTTTTATGAATAGCATTAGAAGTTGGTGCATTTCGTTTTCAGAGATGGTGGGATTGTTCTGCAAAGAAAGTCAGAGGTGCACACTGTGGTGTTTGTTGTCAGCCACCCCTGCCAAAGGGGTGACATCTTTGTACCACCTTCTCCAACTCTACTTCTACTTCCTATTCTAAATAAAATGACAGATTTTGCAACTATTTTTTCATAGTACTTTATAATATCTTCAATATTCCACTCTAGTGTAACTAAGATCTGTATTACTGAAGAACAAGAGCTATCATTATATTCTCATATTTCTTAAATAAATGAAGACAGAGTTCAGAATAATAGAGAAGCTTACCCCAGGTAATACATATTATCTTGGATATGATTTCTACTTACTAAACAATATTGCGATGGTGTTTATATGGCCTGCAAGTTAGTGTAGTAGGAGGTAATAAATCACATGCGGTCGAGGATGTCCAAGACCATTTCTGGAGTTGGCTTTAGGCACATCTTTGTGTCTTCTCGTTCACGGAACCCATTGAGTGTGCAGGTGATGATACTTCCAGTAACATGGATGCAGAGAGCTAACCATTTTTCTAGATGCTTCGTTGATGCTAGAAGATGCCAGAGATCATTGAGACATCATTGGTTAGGCCTGTCTTCTTAATTATTCAGTCTCTAAGAACATAACTTGATCTTCAAACCAATACTTTTCAAAGTCCGTTTGTAATTTCCTTTAGAAGCAGGTAAATGAAGCGGTGAAGTTTTTGCTGGCACAGGTTCTGTACTTGGGTATTGTGAAACTTTTATATCTCTCTCGCCTTCTGGAGCCCCATAGTCATGCATGTGAATGAGTATAATTCTGGAATATAGAATTCTTCAGTTAATGAAGAATTAGAGGAGTCCTGGAAGCTCATCAGGTATTCTTTAAAAGAGTATTTAGGTTCCCTCATCATATCACTGTCACATTGTTCTCATAAGACACCAGTGAAGTTAAAGGAGCAGCAAGTTCATAATGAAGTTTTATCTCTCTCTGATGATTATAAAAGAAATGGAAAGCCAAGACATTTCAGCTAAATGCTTTTGTTCTATTTTCAACAGTGCCTGCTGACTGCCCCCAGTGGCTGACTACGGAATCACAGCCTCTTAAAGAAGTCTTTCTATTAATAAATGATTTTTTGATGTTATTGTTTATTAAAACAGAAGTTTTTTCTCTTGTATATAAGTCCAGAAGCTGGTTTGCCAGCTCCAGTGTCACCAGGGACCAGGCTTTTATCTTTGTGATCCATTATCCTCATGTGAGATTCCATTCTCAATATGATTTCCAAGTCCAAAGTGAGTGCTGCAGCTCCTGCCTTTATATCCACATTCCAGGTGATATAAAGAAGCAAAGGAAAAATGCATAAAAACACCCCTCTCAGCTAAGTCACCTTTAAGCAGAATTTCCTACAAATCCACATATTTTCACCTCTTACATCTCCTTGGCTAGAGTTTATTTTTCCTCCAGGTTAATTGAGGTATTGAAAAATGAAAATTGAATATATTTAAGGTATACAATGTGATGTTCACTATGCATATATATATATATATGCATGTGTATATATGTGTGTGTATATATACTATGTGTATATATATATACACCACTATCAAGCAAAATAACATATCTATTGCCTCACATAGTTACATTTGTATGTGTATGTATGTATGTGTGTGATGACAACATTTAAAATCAACAGTCTTTGAAAATTTCAAGTGTATAAGATAGTGTTATTAACTATAGTCACTATGCTGCATATTAAACCTCCAGAACCTATTCATCTGGCATAACTGAAACTTTATACCCTTTTACCTACCATATGATCTAGCAATCCCACTCTGGGTATATATCCAAAGGAAATGAAATTAGGTATCTGCACTCCCATGTTTATTGCAGAATCATTCACAACAGTCAGAATATGAAAAAAACTTGTGTTCATCTACATATACACACACGCATAGGAATATTATTCCTATATACACAAAGGAATATTATTCAGCCTTAAAAAAAGAAGGAAATCTTTCCATTTGCAATGACATCGATGAACCTGAAGGGCATTATGCTAAGTGAAGTAAGCCATGTACAGAAAGACAAACATTGTCTTTACTCACATACATGTGAAATCTAAAAAAGTCAAACTCAGAGAAGCAGGGAATAGAATGGGGGTTGCCAGGGACTAGGGGATGGGACAAATAGCGAGGTGTTCGTCAAAAAATACAAAGTTCCAGATGGCTCTCATTTGATAGGACAGTGGATATCCATTCCTTGGCCATCAGATTTAATGCAGGTAGATCAAAAAAGTCATGGCATTTTTCTTACTGAGGCAAAGACAAGAAAATTTCAGGAGGCAGGAGTCTATAACTCTTCTGTAATATCCATGTGGCATGCCAGGGTGTTGGTTCATGCAAGTTCTAAACAGGATGAATTAGAAGAGACAGCAGGGAGAGAACACTGAGTTTTACGTTTAGCATCTGATCAGGTGCTATATTTTATATTCTTCGTAGTCATGCAGATTATGACCTTGGGAACATCACTGCATTCAAACAAACTTGAAGGACATTGAGCTGCGTGGTTTCCACAGACCCAGTTCTTGAGAATATTTTATCAAATTCCTCACCTGGTTCAAGATGATGTCATAGAACAGGCAAATTTTAGAAGGCCATGTCATAAGTCATAAGTCATCATTTGCAAGCTGCTTCTTTCTAATCCATTGTCTTGCTATGCCACATGTTGTTGATAGTGCTTATTCACCTGACCTCAAATACCATCTTCTCAGAGAGTCTGTCCCTGAGGACCCTATCTTAAGGCCTCCTGGCTGCCTCCACACCCATAACATGTGGAATTCACTTTCTGTTCTGCCCTCTTTTTCTTTCTTTAATTATACTTATTACAAATTATCTTTATTTGCTTGCTAATGTGTTGCTTGCTCCCTAACACCCACCCACCCAACAGAACATGAGCTCCAAGACGACACCTGTCTCATCCACCACTCTCCCATTAGTGCCTAACTCTGTGCTGGTCTACACTGGAGGATCAAAACATATTTGGGAAATGAATAAATAAAATGCTTTAAAATTCAAAAGCTATGTGTAAAACTCTTTCTCTTGTGCAATAAATTTTACTAAAGGTAAACAGCTATTTCTGCTAGTGTTGCTCTTTTTTTCTGTTTAAATTTATTTAGGCTGGGTGTGGTGGTGCATGCCTGTAATCCCAGCATGTTGGGAGGCCCAGGCAGGAGGATCACTTGAACCCAGGAGTTTGAGACTGTGGTGAGCAATCATTGCACCACTGCACTCCAACCTGAGCTACAGAGTGAGCCACTGTCTTAAAAATTTATTTATTTTATTAATTTTTTATGATATTTTATTGATGCATAATAGATACACATAGTTTGGGGTACATGTGATAATGTATTCGTATAATTAAAATCAAATCAGTGTACTTGGGATATTCATCACATTATACGTTTGACTTTTCTTTAAACTGTAATTATTTCAATTCTTCTGTTCTAGCTATTTTGAAATACACAATAGATAATTGCAAACCATAGTCATTCCACTGATCTATCTACCACTATGTCTTATTTTTTCTCTCAAATTGCATATTTCTACCCATTAAGCATCTTTTAAGAGAATTCTGACATTCCCAGTTATGAAAAGACAATCTGATTCTTAGCCTGAGCTGACAGCTCTTGTTGAAGCCTGCTCATTCTGGATCTTTTATTCATTTACTGGGGAATGACCAACAGAAGTTCTGACCAGTGTTCAACCTTTTGTAAATTCTGAGCAGAAAATAAATTGTATGAATAGGGCATTTCTTTTTCTGTTCACTTATAAAATCTTACAGATCTGTATCAATAGTTGGTATGATGCACCAGTTTAAATTATACATGAAGTCCTACAATTCTAAATGACCACTTCAACTCCTCATTCACTGTCTCTAAGAGTTTTTATTTCTTCTACAGACCCAGCGAACTCGGCCCCATCCATACTGGATGGGTTTGACCATCGCAAAGCCATGGCTGGGCAGCGTGTGGAGCTGCCTTGCAAAGCGCTTGGGCACCCTGAGCCAGATTACCGCTGGCTGAAGGACAACATGCCCCTGGAACTTTCAGGGAGGTTCCAGAAGACCGTGACGGGGCTGCTCATTGAGAACATTCGCCCCTCGGACTCAGGCAGCTATGTGTGTGAAGTGTCCAACAGATACGGAACGGCTAAGGTGATAGGCCGCCTGTACGTGAAACGTAAGTTGGACGGTAACTTGCAAAGGTGGTGTTGGCTTCCATCGATGGAGCTCCTGTTATAAGCGAATCTCCGTGTTTTCTCTGTAGCTTTCCATTAACTCCCAAAAGAGTCCAGCTGAGATCAACAGAAACCTCATTTTACAGATGTGAAAATTAATGCTCAGATGAATTCCCCAAGGTTACACAACTGGAGAGTCTTGGGTGTCAGATTTGATTTGAAGACTGTCTGATCCCCAAACCTCTGTGAGTTCCATTAGGCCACAGACTATTACATTTCTAAGATACGATTTCAAGATAACACTTCCTAGCTGATGAATTCACAACAGCCAGTCTCTCTAAAAATGAACAGAGTGAGAGGGTAGGATTGTTCTTTCAGCACAAGTGATGATAGCCAATCAAAGCAGTTGTCCTTTGTCTGTTTCCAGACCATTTCTGCATTAAATTTCTAAATAAGGCTATTAGCCAAAGTATGAGGCTCAAACATACCCAAATATTAGACTCGTGCCTGGTATTTTAGATCATCTACTCCAAATATGATGGATATGTTTGATCTTCCATTGATTATTGATTGCCTTGGCTGCCTTGAGGAATGTGTTGAGAAGGATACTGAAGGCAGATTTGGAGGAAGGAGGGATGTGATTGCAGGGTCACAATCTAATCTACTCAAACACCCTCAATTTTGCTCATGCAGAAACCAAATTCAAGTGAATTACTCAAGATCACATGGCCAGAAAAGGAAGGCAGAGCCTTGGTCAGAGAGGAGGTCTTAGTTGCCAATATAATACTCCTTTTTTGAAAATATGTTTTTACTTGATGAACTAAATTGAACAGATTTAACCACAGGAATCTCACACTGAAAAGAGAAGTGTTTTCTTACTTCCCCCTCCACCTCCCCGCCCAGCCCTAACCCTGTTTCTGGAACTTTCTCTTCAATGTCAACCTGAGTGTAGACTGCCTTAGCATAATACCAGCCTAAGAGAATATATTTACATTAAATATCCAAATGACTATCTGGAACAGGCTGTCTAGCCTGAGTCCTGCAAAATATTTGAACATGTTTAGTCTGGGATTAGAAAGAAATGGATGACAAAATCCACAGTTACACTTCTATGCTGAAGAATCATGTGGATAAAATATGCAGCATTGGACAGCCAGCCACAGGCTCAAAGTCTCTTCTACGTTAAAAGACCTCTCCTAGCTCCCTGTTTTCTGCTGAATAAAGTTGATATCTTAGGATAGCACTGAAGGCATCTCAAGCAAATCTGTCTGGCCGTATTTCCCCTTGTTTTGCATTAAAACCCACTTATGGCTGGGCACGGTGGCTCGCACCTGTAATCCCAGCACTTTGGGAGGCTGAGGCAGGTGGATCACAAGGTCAGGAGATCGAGACCATCCTGGCTAACATGGTAAAACCCCGTCTCTACTAAAAATACCAAAAATTTGGCTAACTGTGGTGGCAGGCGCCTGTAATCCCAGCTACTTGGGAGGCTGAGGCAGGAGAATGGCATGAACCTGGGAGGCGGAGCTTACAGTGAGCCGAGATCTCACCACTGCACTCCAGCCTGGGCAACAGAGCAAGATTCCATCCCAAAAAAAAAAAAAAACAAAAACAAATTGCAACCTCAGGCATAAATGGGATAATAACCTATTCCTGCTAAATCTAACTTCTTCCTAATTCCTGCACAAGCCATTCCTTTCCTTATTGCAAGTCATATTACTAATGGTGCTTCCTCCACATAAAAGATTATTTCCTAATACTTCGTTATCTAACACTTCCCATCTCTCTTAGCCTCCATCTGCAAAGATGTGTTGTTCCCCATTCTCCTCCTGTCTCCTCAACTCAGAGTATGTTACTGCTCTCTCTCTAAAGGCGTTTATCACTGCATGTATTTTAAAAGCCTTTATTATTAATGTGCTTATTTTTATCATTGTTCTCTTCTTCCACATCTAGGTGATTCTCCAGTGCTTCTGGAATGTTCTCTGCCTCCCTTCTGACTTCCCGTCTCTCTTCTCTATTGGAAAGCATTCTCTTGGACTCCAAATTCAGAACTGTCTTCTTGTCAAGCTCTTCCCTTTTCCTTAGGCTCTGTTTCATTTGTAGAGCTTCAAATTCCTTGCCTCTGAAAATAAGCTCTGAATCTGTACTTGTAGCCTTGGCTTCCTTCATGAGTGTCAGACAAGTGTGTCAACCAGCTTTCTTTCAGAAATTTCGCTGGCACTTCAAAACAACAGTGTCGGATACCAAACTAAACTCTCCACCACCTCTTCCTTCCAAGTGGCTCTTGTTATTATTACCAACATCTTCCTCCCTGTCATCCATCAGATGCAAACATGAAATCTTGGGTGCTCTTTAAGCCTTTCCTTTCTACATCCCGCCAAGTCCTGCCATGTCCTGCCGAGTCCTGCCAAGTGATACAAACTGAATCTCACAGTTAACTCAGCTCTGTTCTCAACTTCTGTCCTGCCTTAGATTGGATCCTAATTGTACCTACACTAGACATGTGTAATGTCTTCACTGACCGGTTTTCCTCACCCTCATTTGTCAAAAGACCTTTGACTTAGTGATTCCTTTAAAAGTATGTTTGAGCTGGGTGCAATGGCTTGTGCCTGTAGTCCCAGCTACCCAGGAGGCTGAGGCAGAAAGGAGGAGGAGTTTCAGGCTACAGAGAGCTATGATTGTGCCACTGCACTCCAACCTAGGTGACAGAGCAAGGCCCCGTTTCCGGGGGGGGGGAAAAAGACTTATTTGCTAAGCATTTTTGAATGCCTTCTTTAGTTATCTTTGTTTAATTCCAAAATCTTAGGGATTCTCTGTTGCATCCAAAATGAATCAGAAACTCTCAGACATGCCCCTGCTCCCTGCCTTAATTCATGTGGTTCCCAATCTCTGTGATTCCTTCTTTCCATTCTGACTGGTCTCAGTTCTATGATATCTGGATTTTCTGCTGTTCCCAACCACCCTTCTCCACATGTGCTATCTCTCTAATGGCCCTTGCATCACTCTGGTTGGTTATTACAGCCATTTATTGCCTTTTCTTATCAACCTAGAAGACTGAGCTCCTTGAAAACAAAGTGTGGTGAGATGAAAAGTTAGGAACAACTGGGGTAAAATACTTTTTTCACCCACTTTTTGATGGGGTTGTTGGTTTTTTTTCTTATGAATTTGTTTAAGTTCGTTGAGAATTCTGGATATTAGACCTCAGTCAGATGGATAGATTGCAAAAATTTTCTCCCATTCTGTAGGTTGCCTGTTCACTCTGATGATAGTTTCTTTTGCTGAGTAGAAGCTTATTAGTTTAATTAGATCCCGTTTGTCAATTTTGGCTTTTGTTGCAGTTGCTTTTGGTGTTGTAGTCATGAAGTCTTTGTCCATGCATATGTCCTGAATGGTATTGCCTAGGTTTTTTTCTAGCATTTTTATGGTTTTAGGTTTTACATTTAAATCTTTAATCCACCTTCTCGTATAAGGTGTAAACAAACCTGTACGTTCAGCACATGCATCCCAGAACTTAAAGTGAAATAATAACAATAGCAAAAGGAGAAGATTGCCAGAATGGATTAAAAAGCAAATCTTAGCCATCTGCCATCTACAAGAGATGTTTGTTAATTTAAAAGATGTATTTATATGTCTTCTGTCCTCCATGTGCTTCTATTAAGCAATCAGAGGTCATTAAGATCTTTGTTTCTCTATATGTCATTTGCCATTTTTGCTATCTGCCTTAAAGAATTTCTCTTTATTTTTGGTTTTCTATAATTTGTAATATGACTAGACAGGATTTTCATCAGATTTTTCCTGCTCGGCACTTTCTGACGTTTAAAAATCTGTAACTATATGTCTTTCACTAAAAATTTTGTTTTGTTTTGTTTTGCCATTTGCCTGTTGATTAGATTTGGCTGAGTTACTTAAGCTCTCTGAATCACCATTTTCTGTTTTGTAAAATGGAGATAACACAAAAATTACAGGATTAGGAGAAGACTGACTTCAATGACCTATGAAAGATAGTCAATAATTTTATAGCACATGCTAGTTGCACCATAAGTATTATTCCATTTTTCTTGCCTGTGAGTTTAACCTCATCCTTGGCACATGACAGATGCTCAGTGAATGCTTTCTACATTGGATTAGGGTTGTTGAATTGAAAACATGGGAAGGTGAGGATGAAAGTTTCATCCCTGTCTAAATCACTCAGCCTCATTTTAAAGAAAATCTCTGTTTCATGGTCACAAATTCTAATACCAACCCATTTGTTGGTCGGTTTGTTTGTTTGTTTTTTCCCCACAATTGTGTGTTATTGGCCCTTGGTAAACCACATATGACATATGAGTGAGTATACGTGTGTGTGAGAATGGCCCAGGGTAAACCCACCAGTGCCACCTCGGGACAAAGCAAATTAGGATTTATATGTTCAATGTTCAATACTTATGTCACTATTGGTAGCCAGCACATTGCATTTTTTTTTTTTTTTTTTAAGACAGAGTCTCACTCTGGTTGCCCAGGCTGGAGTGCAGTGGCACGATCTTGGCTCACTGCAAGCTCCACCTCCCAGGTTCATGCCATTCTCCTGCCTCAGCCTCCCAAGTACCTGGGACTACAGGTGCCCCCCCACCACGCCCGGCTAATTTTTTGTATTTTTAGTAGAGATGGGATTTCACCGTGTTAGCCAGGATGGTCTCGATTTCCTGATATCATGATCTGCCCGCCTTGACCTCCCAAAGTGTTGGGATTACAGGTGTGAGTCACTGTGCCCGGCCTGCATTTCTTACTGTCAGTGGATTTATATCAACATCCTCACATAGACTCAGTGAGAAGGCAGTTTGACCAACATTATTGCATTTGTTGCATAGAGAAATAAAGCCAGAAATAAAAAATAGCGAAGGGGATGTTCCCAAACAAAATGTTCCTCTGTGAAATAATATGGCTCGTAGGAACTGTATGGAGTATGACTGCAGTGATGCACTTGCTTTGTTGAAAGTCCAGCCTGTTGTCCAAATGCTATCTAGTGATGTTTTTACCTTTTTTTTCTCTCTCTCTCTTACTAAAACCTCCAGAGCCACTGAAAGCCACCATCAGTCCCAGGAAGGTTAAAAGCAGCGTGGGTAGCCAAGTTTCCTTGTCCTGCACCGTGACAGGAACTGAGGACCAGGAACTCTCCTGGTACCGCAATGGTGAAATCCTCAACCCTGGAAAAAATGTGAGGATCACAGGGATCAACCACGAAAACCTTATTATGGATCACATGGTCAAAAGTGACGGGGGCGCATACCAGTGCTTTGTGCGCAAGGACAAGCTGTCCGCTCAAGACTATGTGCAGGTGGTCCTTGAAGGTCAGTGGGCCTCGTTACAGGGTATGGCTGAAAAAGAACCCAAACCCAGAGCCCTCAGAAAAGAAGAAGACAGGGCAAAGCAGTGCTGATCGCTCAGTTCTGGGCTCTCTGTCTGTCTCACCAGCTACTACTCTACCCTAATTTTTCAAGCTAAATCAGGCAAATGGGAGAGAAAGTTCTGATGAGAATGAAATTGTTTCATATTAGAAGTAATGTAAAGTAACATAAATGTTACCCACTCGTTAGTTGTAAGTTATTTGCCAAGAATGAAATCTTAGAAGAAACCACAATTAACAGTTTTGTTGATCATTCATCTCTAGACCAGGGTCTTTCAAGAATACCTTGCTTGGGGAACTTTTTTCTTATTTTTTTTTCTTGAGATGGAGTTTCGCTCTTGTTGCCCAGGCTGGAGTGCAATGGCGCAATCTCAGCTCATCGCAACCTCCAGCTCCTCAGTTCAACCCATTCTCCTGCCTCAGCCTCCCGAGTAGCTGGGATTACAGGCATGAGCCACCACACCTGGCTAAGTTTGTATTTTTAGTAGAGATGGGGCTTCTCCATGTTGGTCAGGCTGGTCCCAAATTACTGATCAGGTGATCCGCCTGCCTCAGCCTCCCAAAGTGCTGGATAACAGGCATCTTGGGAAACTTTTTTATGTGTTGTGGGATCTTTAGCAGCGTCTTTGGCCCTTTTCCACTAGGTGTATGCTAGGAGCACCTTCCTCCAAGTTGTTACAACCAAAAATGTCTCCAGACATTGCCAGGTGTTCGCTGGGTGGGGTATGGGCAATGGCCTCCAGTGGAGAAGTACAACTTCAGATTCAAAATGCAGAGCGAAATGTCAATACAGTGGTTGGTGGAGTGAAAAAATGGCATCTGTTTGGTGCAGTTGTCCCTAGATCCATCCAAATGTTCACACATTTAAGTAAATGAAATTTGTGAGGAATTATTTTGTGGTATAATAACAGGTTTTAGGTATGTGATACAGTTTGCTTTTTTTTTAACTGGTTACTGCATACTAAATCTTCAAGCTGATCAGTCAGCGAGAGAAAGACGCTATCACGGGCAACATATGTTTATCACTACATGATTGAACTAGCTTCTATCTATGTATTTGTGTGTCTCGTTGGAAATTATGTCCTTCTATATAATTTAAAATTCATCTGATATCAATTGATTAAAATAATAAAATGATTTTGATATAGCCTAAAGGGAGAACAAATAAAACACATTGATATATGAAAATAAGATTAAATATATCTTGATTATAAGAGCATATTTCTGTTATTCTTTTTTAACCTTAGCTAATTTTTTAAGAAGTAGCAGGCTTAGCAATGAGATTCCTATTTTGATTCAGGCGTTTCATTGCAGACAGTGAGATTTTTAAAGCAGAGGTGAAATTAGCTGAAAGCATGGTATTCATATTAAATGCCTGACACTGTGTTCCGTATAATAATTAAGTGAAGAAAGTAATCAATTTGTGCAGAACCAGTTTGCTAATGATGATGCACTCTAGTCCTTACATAGTCACTATTTTTAGATTCTTTGTAGAAAAAGGAGAGATTACCTGTCTAGGCCCAGTTACCTCGGCAACCATTTCATGCAACTAAGAAAACCTAAAGACCATATTGATAATCCATAATGATGTCAGAAGAGTTCAGATTATCAGAGTGACAGCAAGAAAGATTTCAAAGACACTCAGGTCTCCCTGGGAAAATAATGTCTGCTTTCATCTCCAAAAGAGCCTGTCACTTGAACTAAAAAGGGGGCTGAGGAGCACCGCCAGCACACTCTCGGATTTATTTGTCGCATGTCAGCTTCCATTCAGGACAAGAAGCTTCACTTTATTTTTTTTTCTCTTCTGAGAGATGACAGTGCTAATGTAGCAAAAGAAAGCAGAAATGGAATTACAAATACATATCTAGTACCTGCTTTAAAAGAATGTCTGGCTAATTTCCTGTGGAAAACAAAAATACTCCAATTATTCTCACTGAAATAGCGATGGATTAAAGTAAAACTATAAAAATTTGTAATACTATGAACTAGGACTGATCATAGATACAATGGAGAATCTGGGAATATTTCCTATGAGGCTATAAAATGGAATTTAATAACTATAGGTTCAGGATAAAACCATAATACCTTGAAAATGGAATGATTTTTAAAAAAGAATAATAAAGGTTTCCAGTTCTGGGAATGGTAAAATAGCATATATCAGACTATGTCCCAAGATGATAAAACACAAGAAACTTTGGGAAAAGCAAAAGTATATATAGACACTTGAGAGACACCAAAAGCAAATTGGAGAGTGTCCTCTTCCACTGAGGACACAGCTGAACTCCAAAAATGGGGGGGAGAATGCAAGTGTGCAATAAAAAAAATAATTAGACATACAAAAAACAGGACTCTGCAACCGAAGGACACAAGACAAAGCAAGCAGTAGAAACAAATCATGAGAGGACCCAGACGTTAGAACTGGCAGACAAGGACTTTACAGCTGCTATTTAAAATATGTTCAGTAACTTACAGGAAAATATGGACTGAAAGAGTGAATGTATGGGACAGACTAACAGAGAAATTGAAACTGTAGAAAAGAATCCATAGAAATGAAAAATACACCATATTTGCTTTAATACAAGATTAGAGAAGGAAGAAGAAAGTATCAGTGAACTTGAAGATAAATCTTAGAAAATTATCCAATCTGAAGCATGGGGAGAAAGAAGACTACAAAGAAAATGATTAGAGCTTCAGTGACAAGTAGGACATCATCAGATAACCTGACAGACACGTATGATTAGAGGCCCAGAAAAATAGGAGACAGGGAATGCAGAAGAAAAAAGTATTCAAAGAGATAATGACCTTAGTTTTATCAACTTTGGCATAAAAGTAAGGTTGCAGATCTAAGAAACTCAGCACACTCCAAAAATAAACACAAAGAAAATGCTATGTCAGTACATCAGAGTTAAGCTGCTGAAAACCAAAGATAAAGAGAAAAACTTAAAAATATGAGGGAGGAAAAATATTACATAAAGGGGACATCAAGAACAAATGGTGGATGATTCATCAGATATTTTGGAGGACAGGAGACAATGGAGCAGCATCTTTAAAATATTGAAGAGAAAACAAAAAGACACAAGCCCTGCCAACGTAGACTTCTATAGCAAAAAAACCAACAACAACAGGCTTTAAAAATGAAGGCAAAATAAAGATATTTTCAGTAATAAAAAGGTGAAAGAATATGATGTCAGCAGCCCTGCACATTAGGAAATGATAAATGAAGTCATGCTGGATGTAGAGAATGGACACTTACATCTATGGGATATAGATAACATGGAACAGAAAGGGAACATAAAATGGAAACATATCTATAGGAACAAATACCATGAGAAATGGTAAACATATTCATAAATATTTAGCAAAATTGTGTTTTATTTTTTAATTTCTTTAAACAATTGATGATTATAACATTATAAAATTACCACACTTGGCCATGTGCTGTGGTTCACACCTGTAATCCCAGCATTTTAGGAAGCAGAGATAGGCGGCTCACTTGAGGTCAGGAGTTTGAGACCAGCCTGGCCAACATGGCAAAATCCCGTCTCTATTAAAAATACAAAAACTAGCCAGGTGTGGTGGCACGTGCCTATAATCCCAACTATAGGCAGAAGCAGGAGAATAGCTTGAACCCAGGAGGTGGAGGTTGCAGTGAGCTGAGATCCTGCTACTGCACTCCAGCCTGGGCGACAGAGTGAGACTCCATCTCTGAAAGTACAATACAATACAATACGATACCAACACTTTATTATAGAATTAATATAATAAATAGATGTAATAACAAAAAGGGAAGAATTATTTGTTGCAAGGGTCTTATATTTCACATAAAGTACTGCAATCTTAACTTTTAGTAGACGTAATTTAAAACATACACACCCACATAGATATACATATAGGGGTGTGTGTGTGTGTGTGTGTGTAAAAATGGAACTTATCTTGTAAATGCAAGATTGGAAGAACATTAAAAATCTAATCTGTGTAAGTGACTATATTAATAGAATAAGGGAGGAAATCCAATTGATTATCTCAATATATACAGAAAAAATCATTTGATGAAACTTGAATCCATTCAGCATAAAGAATCTCCAGCAAACTGGAGACTCTGGAGAGCATCCTTGACCAGGTAAGTGGCATCTGTGAACAATCTACAGCTAAAATCATACTGGTTAAACACTAAATGTTTTTCATTTAAGATTGAGACCAAGGCAAGGATGCCCACATCCACCACTTCTATTCAACATTATACTAGCAACCCTAGTTAAACTTGAGTAGAAATAAAATACATGGAGTTTGGAAAGGGAAAATTTGCAGCTGTCTTAATTACAGGCATTGTTGTTTACAAAGAATATGACAAGGAAACAATAAAGCAATTTCTAAAAGTGAGTTTAAAAAGTCATTGGATATAAGAATGATATACAAAATGCAATTTTATTTCTGTATACTGAGAACAAACAATTGGAAACTAGTATTTTGAAAATTTCATTTACAATAACATAAAACATAAGATAGGAATATATTTAAAACAAATGTGAAAGATTTCAACATACAAAAATACAAAACTCTGCCAATATAAAATTGAAATAACCTAAATAATTGAAAAGATATACCATATTCAAGGATTAGAAAACTAAACATTCTTAAGTTAACAATTCTCTATAAAATGATAAATGTGATTTCAAGCAAAACCAGGGCATGGTGGCTTGTGCCTGTAATCCTAGTATTTTGGGAGGCTGAGGCAGGGAGATCCCTTTAGCTCAGGAGTTTGAGGCTGGCCTGGGAAACATGGCAAAACTTCATCTCTACAAAAAAAAAAAAAAAGAAGAAAGAAAAAATAGGTGTAGTGGTGTGCACCTGCAGTCCCAGCTACTTGGAAGATTGTGCCACACCAAGGACAACAGAGGGAGACACTGTCTCCAAAAAAACAAAAACAAAAAACAAAAAAAAACAAAAGAAACAAAAAACATACACACACATATATATGTACCTTTTCAACAAATTAACACTGAAACAACTCAATAAATGTATGGCAAAGAATGAGTATTAATCCCTACATCACACTTCATATCCACACAGAATTAAGTTGCTATCCATATAGAATTGAATATAAAGTATAAAGCAATACAGTCTCCAAAAGAAAACATAGAATAATTCTTCATGATTTGCAAATAGGTAACAATTTCTTAGGACACAGAAAGCATTAAATGTCAACACAAGTACATTATTAAGAAAAGATAAAGGCAACCACAGACTGGGATAAAATATTTTATACACACACAAATATATGTGCTATATATATGTTGACAGATATATATAATCTCTATAGGATATCTGACAAATGTATCAGATCATTATAAGATATCTGACATAGATACTCTCTCTATATATATTTCCTTGTATTTCAAATACATAAAGATTTAAATTTGTTGTATTCCACAACAAATCAAGAACAAAAAGGCAAACAGTCTAATATAACAATGGCCAAAGATTTGAGCAGATACTAAAGGAAACACACGGCTGGCCAATAGGCACATAAAACACGTACCTTCCATGGTATTTCTGGGAAAAATATACAACCTGCATTTAGTCATGAGGAAATATGAGACAAACCCAATTTCAGCAACTGACTACAAAATTACTCTTCAAAAATATAAAAGTCAAGAAACACAAAAGAGGCTGAAGAATATTCCAGATGAAAAGAGACTGAAATGACATGAAACATAAATAATGGGTGACACAGACTCCACTGGAAAAAAACAGTGACGAAAGATATTAGTGGTCAACAGACAGAATTTTGCTGTGAACAGTGCGTTAGATAATAGTACTGTTCCAAAGTCACATCTTCTAATTATATTCTAGGTGTACTCTGGTTGTGATGAAATATATGCATGTACAAAGCATGCGTACTCTATTATTATGTTTCTTCTAAGCTCAAGCACAGGCAAAACCAGCACATCCTAAGAGGAATCATAGCAGTGATCTATGTTGGATGGGGGTTTATTGAAAGGAGCCCTTAGGGAATTTTGGTGATGGAAATGTTTTATATCTTGATCATTTTGGTGGTTATTCTGGTGTGTATATTTAGCAAAACTAAGCTATACACTTAAGATCTGTATATTTCACTGTATGTAAAATTTACCTACAAAAAGAGAAGTATAACCGAAGAACACTTTGCTAAACCCATGAGTTTTCAGAGCTTAATGTAAAAACGAGTGAAAAGAAATCTACAGCTAAACACATTTTACAAAAACCACGGAATTATGAAGGACACGTGAAATAACTCCAGTACTCCTCAACATTAACGACTGATCACGGACAATGAATAGCAATCATGATGACATCTAACTTCTCTGTAAAATTAAACACAGGACGTGATGAGACAACGTCTGCAGTGCGTTAAAGACAAAAGCATCGATTTTGCATGTTAATATTTTAAAGGTTTCTTTTTCATCTCTGACAGTAAGAGACAAAATGCTTACAACCCAAGGACACTGCAATATGCTACTTATGAGCATATCTTGGAGAAAACAAACTCCAGGGCCTTCTCCAGCCACCTGAAACATGAGCTGGAATGAATAAGTGAGATTCAGGAATTTGGGAAGGAATAGATGGTAGAGGGGTGGAGGGAAGAGCTGCAGCACAGCCCCACCATCATGAAGGCCCTACATAACTGGCCTCCCCGGCCAAGAACTAGGCCCCAAGGTTTTGGGGGAATGAGTGGCACTTTCCTCAAGGATGTTTGGAACTATTAACCATTCACTGTTGCCTTTCCCTGATGGAATTGCAAGCTATCCTAAATTTTGCTTGCCTCCTTTGTTTTTGTTGATAATACTTTCCAATTTTCAAGAAGAAAGATATTCAAAAATGGAGATATATTTTTTATAATAAAAATTAAAACCTAAAAAAAAAAATCTAGTCATTCTTATCATTTGTTATGGGACAACCCTTTAATTGAACACAAAAATTCTTTTAAAAAATAAAAAATGTCCCCTCCAGCAAGGTCTCTTACCAGACTCAGAAATCCTGTGGCATGTGATTACAATTATGTCAAAATGACCCACTTATGCCTAGAAAAAATGTGTCACAGTGTTGATTTGTATGCCTGAGGCTGGCTGACCTATTGGTAACTTTTCTTCTGATTTTCATACATTTCCTTTAATATGCATGTATTGCTTTTTATAAATGGAAAAACATATATAAAAGAAACATGCATTTGTAACTATAATAAGAGAAAAACATATGGATGATAGAAAAATAATGGAATATGAAAATTTGATCTATGTACACATACTGAAAATTTCTGTGGAAACTTCTCTGAGATTAAGATCCTAGTTTGCCTGCAACAGTTCTGGGTCGTGCCTGTTCTCTTGGCATAATTAGTAATCGTTTCTGTTTCAGCCTCAAAAGTGTCCCAGGTTGGATGTTAAATTATATGACCGGCCTACTTAAGTTACTTTTAGAGATATTTAAAACATGCTTAAGTACCCACCCTACTTAAGGGATCTTTAGAGGTTTTTAATACACGGCATTTAATGCAAACTTTATTTAGCTTCTGCCCATCCTCAGAGACTTCATGGAAGTTTGCATGCAGTTACCATTTGTAATTAAAGCTGTAAAAGAGGAATTCTTGTGAGAAAATGATGAAGATGAGATCATCAATCTCTCAGTAGTCTCCTTTATTCCTGTAAACAATTCCCTAGTGAGAAAACCCCCAAATAACTTGAGGAAGTATTAGGTTGGTGCAAAAGTATTTGCTGTTTTGGCCATTACTTTTTGCAATCACTCTTGCATCAGCCTAACAGATAAAGTGACTGTGGGGGTGAGCGGATGTGAATTTTCCCTCTATTTATAACTTTGTGTGAGGAAACACCAGTTTTAAACTAGGGACTTCTTGGGAGCTGTGATTGTTTAACCCGAACATCTAAGTTGTATTACCATTCCTCTTAAGTCAGTCAGGAAATACAGAAACAGTTTATGAAAGCTTGCTAATGCTGTGCTTACCTGTTTTGAAAATAGTGAACTCTTGTTCTGATTAACATTTTGCCTTATCAATAAAACCAGACCTTTTTGGTAATGTTGAACAACTACGACATCTACCTCCTAGACATTAAAGAAATGTACTTGGAAGTTCTTTAATTATTTGTATGTGCCACTTTCTTCCATAATTTGTTTTCCTGCAGATGGAACTCCCAAAATTATTTCTGCCTTTAGTGAAAAGGTGGTGAGTCCGGCAGAGCCGGTTTCCCTTATGTGCAACGTGAAGGGAACACCTTTGCCCACGATCACGTGGACGCTGGACGACGACCCCATTCTCAAGGGTGGCAGTCACCGCATCAGCCAGATGATCACGTCGGAGGGGAACGTGGTCAGCTACCTGAACATCTCCAGCTCGCAGGTCCGGGACGGGGGAGTCTACCGCTGCACTGCCAACAACTCGGCGGGAGTCGTCCTGTACCAGGCTCGAATAAACGTAAGAGGTGCTTGTCAAATCAGCTCCTCAAAAAAACACACATAACTCATTGTAGTGGAGAAGAAGATTTCTGCATGCACCGAGCTGGGTCTTGGAATGCCAGAGTGGATTAACTGTTGCTTTCCATTTCCTGCCCTCTCCTTCCTACTCAGGAATGGCACTGACTGGGTTAATGTTGGAAATGGCATTTTGGTTTCTGTAGTCAGCTTGTTCTTTTTTACTCTAGATCCGTTCACCTGATGTTTCCTTTCCTGGTTTATGCTCTGCATGCCCTTTCCCTTCTCCTCCTCTTCGGTTCTTCCACATTCATGGTAAACCTTCATGTACATGGTATTAAACTTACATTCATGCTGCAACGTGGCGTAACCTCCATCGTCATCCTGGATTTTACAGAGAGAGTTAAACAATTGATCAATGGCTGCCAGTGTTTTCACCAAAAGTGCATGATTGTCCAGTGTAGACTAGTTGCTTTCTATTAATTAAATTGCCTTTTATCTTGTAATTTTTAATTCAAAACATCTTCATAGAAGTAGCAGATAAAGTATTTAACACTTAATTCATTTGAATTTAAGAAAAGGAAAGAAAAACCTTCTTTGTAGAAAATGCCACATGCAAAAATATTTGTTTAACTGAAAAAGATGTGCTTACATGAATAGAATCTACATTTTTAACTCAAGGAAAAGCGTCCCCATCTCCCCACGTGAGATATACCCTTAAATTATTTTCAAGAGTTTCTTTGTGTCTCTCCAGGGCCTGCAAGCATTCGACCAATGAAAAACATCACAGCAATAGCGGGACGGGACACGTATATTCACTGTCGTGTGATTGGCTACCCGTATTACTCCATTAAATGGTACAAGAACTCTAACCTGCTTCCTTTCAACCACCGCCAAGTGGCATTTGAGAACAATGGAACTCTTAAACTTTCGGATGTGCAAAAGGAAGTGGACGAGGGGGAGTACACGTGCAACGTGTTGGTTCAACCACAACTCTCCACCAGCCAGAGCGTCCACGTGACCGTGAAAGGTAAGCCCTGTTCTTCCGGTTCCCACACATCTCATTCCAAAGCCCGACTACTTCCCAGACCAATGATTTGAAGTCGGGTAATCTAAGATCTGCTTATTTAGAGCAGGATAATTGTACAGGGTGAAGAATGACAGGGAACATGAGATGTCCTCTTTACTACTGACTGAATCTTCACAGGACCTTTAGTTGATCTAATTTTCTCTCCAGGTGGAATTTTGGCTTGCTTTTCCAGAAGGCATGTGTTGTTAACATTACAACAGAAAAAAAAAAAAAAAAAAAAAAAAAAAAAGAAGCACATCATTGGCTTGGTTATCTAGTCGTCTTTCAGATAATTTTTAAGTGGATAACTTTCTTTTCCTCAAACCTCCTAAAAGCAAGGTCTCTTAGAATGTAACTGGAAGGGATTTTCTGTATTGAATGAGGATTTCAAACAAACGTCTTATCTTCTGTAGATGAGCAGGTCAAAGCAACAACATAGAAATTATATGTTTAAAGGATTCCACAGAGCGTTTTTCTCATTAAATTATTTGCATCATGGCATGGACTGTCGTGGAATCTACCTGTCAGGATGATCTTTAGAGATCCTGCATTTCAACTACAATTTCCTTACCAGAAAAAACAATAAGGTGATCAGACTCATCCAAGGATACACAGCTTTGTAGTGGCAGAACCTTAGATAGGCTCGTTTCTTCTATTCTCCAAGTCAGTTTCCTGAGCTGAATATGAAATAAAATTGTTTTAATTATGTAAATAATCTACCTGAGGTAGGTCCTAGGAATAGAACTAATATGTTATAAAACTGTTTCTAAAACCTGTGGGTGTTTCTTCTAGCCGCACTGAGCTGCCTTTCTGAGATGTCCAGTGTATCTCCCCAAGTACCAATAATTGGCTTTTAGTTGCCCTTGTTACAAAGTTGCATGGGTTTCCTGTGGTCTTCCCCAACCTTCTTTTCCTACCGACCCTGTGAGTTTTACTTTATTGAGAACACCTACAAACACACACACACACACACGAAAATAATAATATATGTATATTATTATTATGGGGCATATATATATTACATACATTATATATTATAGAATATGTATTGTGTATTGTATATTAGATATGACTGCACATATAATAACCATGTATCTTGAGAATTTCCTCAAATCACTAGATATTCTTGGTAAACCAGGCTGGTAATAGCTGCATAAAGGTTCATTTTGTGGTTGTGTTTATTCTTTAATCCTCATTTACAGAACATCTGCTTCATGCCAGGCACTCCTCTAGACACGGAAGAATGCAATGATGAAAAAGGTCTGCAAAGTCCTTCCCCTCATTGACTCTCTTCTCAGTCAGGAGAGAGAAACAATAAACAAATAAAGCAAGTGAATAAACCAGAAAACACTAATGGTGCTCCATACTATGCAGAGAATTAAAACATGGCAGTATCTTAATGGTTCATTGCAATAGTCAGATGCCATATCAACACATTTGCTGTACTCTGCCATCTTAAAATTCACTGGTCTGTCATACCCTTGGAAGGAACGTTTTACCCACACATGATTTTGTAATATAAAAAGTTGATCATTTGGAAGTGATTGGTTCACCGTGTTATGCAGATCTTCCCAATGTTGATACAATTTGTTATACAATATCAAAATATCACAACTACGAACATTACCATGATCTCATCAGAAAGTCTTCAAGTAAACTGTCAAGTTCATGCTGATGGACACAAGTTTTCTAAAATTCTATTCTTTCTTGAAAGATTCAATTTTATTATTTATAATAAACACCATCAATTGTAATCGTAGGAGTGATAGGCTCATTTCTCTGTAAGAAATTGTTTGACAAATAGAAAAGACTGCATAACCATTGATTGTAGGTAGCCATTCTTTTAAGAAAGAAATGGAATTCCATGAAAAAAAAAGCAGCTGCTCAAATTTGCAACTTAAGCAAGCACAGACATACTCTGACATGAAGTATGACATTCACGTCAGACATACTCTGACATGAAGAAGACAGCCCCATGCTGCTCAGGAGGCAGAGGACACACTGTGCCTTCTTCCCATTTATTACACAGGACATACAACATTAAAAATAACATGAGCTTTAGGGTAAAAATGTAATAAAACTGTAATAAAACTGTTCTTTTTCTTGCTTCATTAAGTGTCTGTAAATGAATCTGGCATTTTTAAAAATCCAACTCAGACTGTTGGTAAACAGTACAATGAACAGTCATCCTGTTAGTGTCACTGCTGGGATTCATGGTAAGGCTCAGCAGTCCCACCCACCATGGCTTTTGCTCCAACGGTGCAAATATCAACACCATGAGAAAGGCAAACAGCACCTCAGCATTGTCATGAAAAAGATTTTCTTCTTAGAAATCACCTAAAATGGTCTCAGGGATCCCTACAGGTCTGTGAGCTACATTTTGAAAACATCTAATACAGTGCTAAAATTTGAGTTTATTTCTAATGTTTGACCATTACGAATAAGGTATCAAATGAACTTCTTTATGCATTGGCCTTTGTCTGATTTTAAGATCATTTTTTTCAAGAAAAATTTCCAGAAGTATGTCCATTGAATAAATAGGTATAATATTTTAATGTAATTTTTAGGAGACATAAATTTAAACAAAAGCTCTTTGAATCATTAACTTTTGCTCTTTAAATTTGCCAGATCATTATAAATCAGTGTATTCATCTTGATCCTTTTGAAGTGACAGAAACCAATTCAAACTAGCTTATGGCCAAAAGAATAATTTATCGTCTCTTAGAAACAATATATTTGTGATTTTAGGAAGTAATTCTATTGAATAATTTTGCCTTCAGCAGCTTCTTTTCTTCTAAACACATATCATATAGTATAAAACTTGTCAGCTCCTTTGCAAATACTTGCAAACAAAGGAAGGAAAATATTATTTTTTTTGCCTGGAATTTTATGGTATTTTATTGCCTGGAAAGAAATGGCAGTTGTTGGGATTTGAGGCTTGCAAAATTTATCAGAATAGTCAGGAAAAGCTGCCTTGAAAAAGTGAGACTTTGAGCAAAGATGTGGAGGGGTTTCAGACAGTTCATAGGTAAAGGGAAGAGATAGAACCATGATGTTTAGAGTTTGCCTGGCAAGCTTGAGGAATAACAGAAAGGCTGGTGTGGCGGGAGCCAAGTGAACAAGAAAACATTAAGAGGTCCTGAGTCAGAAGGAGCAGAACCTTTTCATGGGGGACTTACTAGATCAGGACTTCGGTTTTCAGGACATGGGGTTTTCTGCTGAGTGAGATGGGGGCTTTGTTGTATGACTTTAAAAAGAAAAGTCACATGGCCAGACTAAGGTTTTATTTTTTTTTTTTTTTTTACGTAAGAAAGTGGCAGTCTTTTATTGCAAATATGCACACACTCTCGGGCGAAGTTCTCTGGTCCTCAGGTGTGGGGGGCCAGGGAAGTCGCGCCTGCGCTCTCGGGTGATGTTCTCCGGTCCACAAATGCGGGGGCCGAAGAAGTCACCCAGACTAAGGTTTTAAAAGGATGCTTTTAGCCAGGTATGGTAGGACGAGCCTGTAGTCCCAGCTACTCCAGAGGCTGAGACAGGAGAATACTTCAAGTCCAGTAGTTTGAGGTTGTGGTGCACTGTATTTGCACCTGTGAACAGCCACTGCACTCCAGCCTAGGCAACATAGTGAGACCCCATCTCTAAAAAAAAAAAAGAATAAGGATGCATCTTATTCCTGTGCTGAGAATGGTCTATGCAGGGAAAGGGAGCAAGTAGAATGACCTGTTGGAAAGTGAATCCAAGTGAGAGATGGTGGTGGGCGAGAGCAGAGGAGGTGATGGGTAGAAGACAGACTCTGGATCTATTTTGAAGGTCTATTCAATCGGTTTTCCTAGTGGTTGGATACAGGTGTGAGGAACATAAAGACATCAAGGATCAGGTCAGGCTTCTGACCTGAGTGTCAGGAAGAATGGCATTGCTTTCTACTGAGTGAGCAGAAGATGCAGTGGACCGGTTTAAGGAAGGCGATGAGGAGTCTAGTTATCGATGTGTTGAGATTGAAATACACACTAAACAAGTAAGTGGATGCTCTCAGTAGGAAATTAGATATGGGAGAGTAGAGTTCAGGAATCCAGGCTGCAGACCTGGGGACATCAGTGAACAGATGATGCTCAACACCACAGCGTGGGTGGGACCCTCACGGGACTTCATGCACCACACCGCAGGTTTTGACTTCGTATGGACAGGCTGCCCCAGCCCCCAGTCAGGCTCACATTAGAACCTTTCACCAAATATCTGAAGATAAAGTCTGACAAAAATTCAAACAAGGATTGTTTGAAATGTAAGTTTATCTCTTTTTAGATTTCCTAGATTGGCACAGATCCATGTATTGACTATGACCCTATTGGTTGCAAGGTGCAAGAACCCAAATTACCTTTGCTTCAACAGCCAAGTGCAGAGGCACACTGCTGTAATCCCAGCTACTTGGGAGGCCTAGGTGTGATGTGGTACGCAACTGTAGTTCCAGCTACTCCGGAGACTGAGACAGGAGAATGGCTTGAGGCCAGGAGTGCGAGGTTGCGGTGAACTACTTCCAAAACACAGAAACAATTATACCCCATTCACAATCTTAGCCTTTACTCAGAACTTAGAAGGGTCTTAAACAAATTGACTTCTGAACATTTAAATTTACGTTTTAAAATGTTTTAATCTCAGCACTTTGGGAGACCGAGGCAGGAGGATCACTTGAGGCCGGGAGTTCAAGATCAGCCTGGCCACCATAGCAAAACCCGGTCTCTACTAAGAATACAAAAAGTAGCCAGGCATGGTGGCACACACCTGTAATCCTAGCTACTCGGGTGGCTGAGGAGGGAGGATATCTTGAACCCAGGAGGTGGAGGTTGCAGTGAGCCAAGATAGCACCACTGCACTCCAGACTGGGTGACAGAGCAAGATTCTGTCTCAAAATAATAATAATAATAATAATAAATCAACAAATAAAATGTTTTTAAAAGAAATATTAA